ATTGGAAAATTATAAATATTTGTCTTTTTCTTTTCTTTACCGAGACTTAATTTAATTAGCAAGTTAGAACGCTTCCTTCGACACGGACTTCAACAAAATAACTTCTATCGGCTCAATGATTATATTACGTATCATCATAATAGGCCACACCCTGAAGTTTTTAAGCTGGCGATGGCCAGCATACCTGTGGTCTGCAGGATCTTTCTCTCCACGTGGTCCCAGCTCGCACTAGGCCACCCGACCCCCCGTTTCACATAGTGTTCCAATATAGACCATATCCTTGCATGACCGTGTTTCCTGGTCTTCTTCCAAAGGGTCTCTTTTTTTATTATTATTAACAATTCTAGTTGGCCAACCGCAGAAAAGTTTGGCAACCCTGCAATCAAACAAAATGTCCGGCTTTTTTTTTTTGCGAAGCTTTTAATTTGATTCTAGGAAACCGCTCATGCCATTTTGTGTTGGGCCACGCTGAAGCTCCGTGTTCCTTAATTTATCAGCGACTGCAGTGTCGGATTCGTTGTGTACGGTTGGAGTTCGTTTTTCATCATGACGCATTGTCTGCTGTCCAACATGGTTCGTGGCATGACAAGGGATGACTGTCGGGACCTAGCAAATGCGCCTCTCAATAATAAAAAAAATTTACGCACAAAAAAAGAAACATGACCGTACCAGCGAGGTGCACGCTAAATCGTTGCAGTGGACTGTAGTCCATCGCTTTTCGAGCAATATAAAGATTACACAAATAACTGAAGGAAAAAAAATACCACCTAGGACAAAGATGATAGTTCTTTACTCTTGGAGGCATCCAAAAGAGTTCCAGGCATAAAAAAAAGGTGCATTCTTTTTGAAAGCAAAATCTGGATCCTTGGAATTCAACTATATTTTTCCAGAGCCTCGGAAATGCCCGCCAAGCCAGCCCAAAGTGGCACGCACTTCTTTTCAGGGGTTTCTCAAGAAGTCACGAGCACGGCTGTCCTGTGGTCTTTCCCCCCTTTAATCTCGTCGACGTCTTAATGGTGGTCAGTCGAGGAGTACCGCACGGCGTCAAAATCTCGCTCGCCGTCGCAGGCTCCTGAGGATCATTTGCAGCTGCTGCAGGATGCATCAGAGGCGCGCGCGAGCGTGCCCCAAGTCTTATGCCGTGACCATAAGGTGCGCCTGTTGTTGTTGCGTAGATATCACGCTGCCGGGTGTGCAGTATAAGGTTCCGGAAATGGCATCCCCTTCTCTTGCGGAACAAGAATGCGACTGCTAAGCTTAGATTTATATGTTATACGGATGCAAGAAGAAATTGACTTTGACCCGAAGTGGCCGCTTCGGTATACGTGTCCCTCCCTGAGCAAACCTTCCGCCGTAAACCGAGCCGAAACAAAGTCGGCGCCTACACCTAGACAGTTCAAACTTTCCCCGAATGTACATTGAGCAGGTCAGACCTACCGTGCGAAATTTAGAGGCGTATATAGTTCTCTTCTTGTAAGAAATGATAGAGCAAAAAAACTTGCCAAAAGTCAAAAGCAATTAGCGCGGTCGCTAACTCGGTCTTCCACGAACGCGCCCACCCTTGAAAAGATTTTTTTTCTACTCTTCTTCTTTTATAAAAAAAAGAAGCTGTCTTGAAATTTCACATGGTAAGACTGACCTCCTCGGTGTACATTCGGTGAAGGTTTGAACTTTCTATGCGCAGGCGACCATTTTTCCGGCCTATTTTTACGGCGGAAGATCAGGTTGAGACACACTGTATACTTATATAGGGTCACTGACAGCCTACGAAAGGCGGGGTGTGGAACGTTCGGAACGTCATTCTTGTCCAGCTCGCTTGCACCTTTGCATTATCATCATAACCTTAAAATGCAGGTCGTTCATCCTTGTTGGTATTAGACCGATGGCAGCTGATAAAACCCGCTTGCTCTACTGACGTCTAACCCCTGGTTAGCTCAGTTGGTAGAGCGCTCCACTGGAAATGGCGAAGTCCCTGGTTCGATACCAGGACCAGACGGATTTTGTCGGTCGCGTACCAGTCACCTAGCGGTTTTTGGAGATTTGTGTTTGTCCTCTGTCCCTCTCGTTCCCCTTCTCCGGGGATTAATTTCGTCTGTCTTAGTACCGCCCGGCAGCCAATGAGAGTGCAGCATTGGGGCGATAAGCACGTCAAACAGCCAATCACGAAGCGAGAAGCGCGAACATTATTAGCCGCACCCTACGTTTCCCACGGTAAGCCGATAAAGTCGGCAGATATGTTTCTCTCCCGACTTCATTAATAAAAGTAAAGTACTTTTTTTTCAATGCAGTAACAGAAATTTGGTGCGTCTCCTTTTCCTGCACATGCGCATGGAGGTGCCAATCTCCGCAATTTACCGCGAGGTCGCACGGCGATTGACCGGGCCGAAAGTATGTTTATACTTGGCCTCAGCTGAAAAGCCGACAACCAGTCCCGAGATTCTGCAAGGCAGAAAATCCTCCTCACCATGGGAAAGGAGGAAACAGGCAACAGTGTACAGGGTACGAGGGTGGAGAGGAGGAAGCGTGGGGAAAAGTGGAAAGCGCCAACTGGTCGTCGGTCTTTAAGTCGAGACGCTGCCGACGCAACGAAGTGATGGCACAAACCAAGCAGCGTCAAAAATGACAGTCACACCAGGATTCTCGTTTGCTTGTTTATGAATGACACAACGATGATAGAACACCTAAATAAAACACGAGGAACACAGGAACACCGTGATGACGCACATTTCGACACTGTTGACTGGTCCACTCCAGTATTGTACGCGTTACCGAAAAAAAAAGTAACCGGTTACAATTACAAGTACTTTATTGAAAGTATGTAACTGATTACATGTAATCAATTACTGCGTCGCAAAAGTAATTGAAATATTACTAGAAAGTTATTTATTACCGAGTCACGTCGCTTCTTTCACTTTTTAATACGAAATCAAAAATGCATACATACGACTTATGCTCCAAGTGGTTAGATTTCTTTTCTTTTTTAATTATTCGCACCTTGTTAAGCTTTAACAGCTGTTGTCGTTGTAAGTTCTCGTCAGCCATCTTCCCACGTTTCCTGGTGAAGATAGTCTACAGCGACGCTGAAGACCCTCTCGATGGATGCGCTCGAAGGAAGAGTGGTGTTGTAGAGCACAAACACTTTGCGTATACCGGTTCGTGGTTGCGCGGTGCTTCGACGGACGCTTCCGAGTCTAGACGAGATAAGTGCGGAACCCAGTCGTCTACGCCGCGGCAAACTCGGATTGTGACAACCCGTACACAGGAAAGGAGACACTCTCGACAGCTCGACAGTCAAAACGTCGCTGAGCGCGTTGACATTTTAATCCTTCTGGTATATTGGTTTCTTTTTTTCTTTTTTTTTTAATTGTTTAGGGGACAAAAAGTGTCCGATGTTTGTGCAACTTAGACGACTGACGTACGGGAAGATCTGGCGATTTTTTTACGTGAAAAGACTCGACTCGATCATTTTAGCTCTTTCGGAAACATATAATTGCTTACTTGTAACAGAAAAATATACTTGAATTAACAGCGAACGTTACCGAAAAAAAAAAGTAATTGGAGCGTTAAAAAGTTACAATAAAATGTAATTTATTACAAGTACTGAGTTGTAACTCTTTACGTACAAGTCTGGTCTCATCCGCTCGTAGTGTCTTTTGCGTCTAGACAAAGGCCGACGACCAGACACGAGGCAACGGTGGTCAGGGTAGAAGGGGGAAAGGAGGAAGCGGAGGAAAAGTGGAAAGCGCGAACTGCGGTCGTCGGTCTTTAACCTGCAAATAGTAAGAGAAAATAATAGAGGTGCGGCAAAACGAGGATGGGTGACGGTTATACGCTTATATCCTGACTGTCTTCTACTGGCGTGGCGGCGGCAAAACAACGTTTTTGCCCATACTGGAAGTGACGACATTCAAGATGGCGACGCCCTTGTGAAAAAGCTGTATAGGCATAACAAAAGCAGTCTGCGTAGGGGCTCTGGGCACGATGATACGTCACGCTCGTTTACCATAGCTCAGACTGTTCTCTTTTTTTTTTTAATTTAGACATATCTTTGGTCTAGTCATTCGCCGAGTTAGCCCCTGTATAGACGTTTGCAAGTGTGGCCTCGGGGCGCCGCCATCTCACTGGTGGCGTGAATAGGTCGTCTTGTAGTCAAGCGTTGCTGAGGCGTACCCTCGGCCTCAGCAATGCTTTACATCAGACGATGTAATCCACACCAGCAGCAAGATGGCCGCGTCCAGAGGCCGTACTTGAAAACGTCTATAGATTGCAGTGATTCGCTCTCACAAGTGCTTTGCTGCAAAGTAAAGGCTCCGGATTTCCTTTCTTACTTTGTGATTCTTGCCTGCTCAGGACAGAGACAACCAATGGCGACGAAACACTAGAATGATCCCAACGGACGACAACGGGCAGAATGCGAATAGATCCGAACAATGTATGTGAGGAGGGGCATTAAAAGAGCGAAACGACGCGCTCATTGTCGCACATCTCTTTTCTTTTTTTTTTTTTTTGCTCACTTTGTATTCTGAACTTTGTCCTTCGGTGAGAGGAATTCTTCTATCGTTTGCCATGAGTGGTTGTCTCCGTTCTCTACGGGAAAAAGTACACTTTCCGTTGGGGGCAATCGAGCAGAACCAAAAGTGCACCGTCATGGGCGCTCGTCGTCTTTCTGGATTTGCCATCACCGGCTAGACCAATCATGCGCAGAAAAAAAAAATAAAGAGCGGGATCGCGGCGATTCATTCTGCGAACTTTTGGCGCTGTTGTATTAGGGACTCTCAGCAAACCGTTAGCGTGTTCCGCGTACCGCACTACTGGATCCTTCTGGAGTGATACCGTTACTGCGGGGCGCGCACTTAAAAAGTTTGCTTCAAAGGCTTTAGTAGTGCGGTACGCGGAATACGGTTACGGTTTGCTAAAAGTCCCCAATGGCTTCATCGGACCGTAGCGTACCGGATGTGGTACACCACGATCGCTGAACTGGACGCCGGGTGTCCCTACAGACGGCGTGAAGGTCTCCAAGGCCGGAGGCACTGGCGGGGTCCACTTCCTGAAGGCGACGGCGTGCACCGAGGTCCGGGACCTCATCCACCTTCCCGGGCCACTCACCGAGGACGCCGTGCTCAGGACACTCCACGCCAGGTTCTTCAGCAGGGAGTACTTCGTGAGTACTTGCACTCCTCCACTCGACACTTTCCCCCTGGGGAGGTTTGCACGTTTACACCTTCTTTCAGCTTAAAAAGGCACCAAGGACGGAGACGCTGGAGTCCTACTTTGGGACCATCTGTCTTCCTTCTACCACTTCTTCCGGAGTATACTATATGCACTCCTAGAGGCCCCATGAGTATATGCTGCACCGCGATCCGTGACCACGATGTATTCAAGACAATAGAGAGTTTCGTAGATCGTTTTCGCCGTCCCGCAACGCCCTCCGCAACCCGCTACGATACATGGAACTCTACAGTCAAGGCTATCGGCGCGCAGGCGCAGTAGCAACTTCTTCGTTACGGAGGGCTTAACGGAGGGGGAAACGCGGTCTACGAAAAACTCCTAGTAATCGTTGGTTTTCTAGTCAGTTCCGTAACAAAGGGCAATCGGTATCATGTGCCAATAGTCATGCGGTCATAATGGAAAAACGAGTTAACGCCGTTTTAACACTAACGCTGCATGATCATTAAGGCGCGTTGCCGTAGAGCCTTCTCATCGCTGATTGAAGAAATATCAATCATTGGTGTTTTGAGTGTACCGTGGTGCAGTATACGTTCAGAAAAATTTGAGAGTATAAGGTTGTTTTTTTCTCGCATCTTCTCATCATCTTGTAACGTAGAAAGATCTGAGAAGCGGGACATTAGCCCTGTTCTCTATTTTCTCTGCCTCTTATTTTTTTTTATGTTACATTAGAGAAACTCAATAAAGCAGAGAAGATATTGAGCAAAAATAAATTATCTTCTGCCCGAGTTGGAGCACAATTCCTGCCCTCCAGCCGACTGATGGCCTCTCAAATATTTGCTGGGGTTCAATCTCAGGACCATATCCAAGACTCGCCCTACAAACTCCACCTCTTCTTGAGCCTTCTATTTTATCTGAATTTGCTAGAGGTATTTGAGGATTTCATCCGAAGGCGCACGATTTGCAGCATCATCTCGCTCTTGTCTCTTTCATGATCGTTTTTTATGACTTTTCTCACCGCTATGTCTTTGTTTCCCCTCTCCCTTTAAACTCTGAGCAGTCGGTTAGGACCAAGGACAAATCTCCTTTCGTTCATCGACACCAGTCCGTTAACCCCTAGAGAGAGCAAAAAAGTGCATCCATGTTTCCGCCTGTTTGCACCTTGCTTCCTATGAGAAGGTCCTCACTCGACACCCCTCGGTGACTCTCCCCTGCGCAGACGAACGTGGGGCCCGTGCTGGTGTCCGTCAACGCGTACCAAGACGTGGGCAACCCGCTGACGCTGCGCAGCGCCCACGCATCGGCCCGCTGCCCGCAGCTCCTTCAGGTGGTGCAGGAGGCCGCTCGACAGCAGGCCGAGACCGGATACCCGCAGGCCATCATACTCAGGTGGCTGGACCGCTATCTCTTTTCGGAAGGGGGCTACAACAACGTGTCCTGGATACAAAGGCCGTAGTGACACATTTTCCACGTCACCTAAAGAAGGCCAAGGCCTTCTTTAGGTGACGAGCGCAGCGTCTGCGTTCGGCTGCAACTCACGTTCAGTCAACGAGGACACGAATCCTAACCGAGCGCCGACGCCGTGTCCATACTCCCGTCGCACACGGCCTTCCTACCTAGAAGCTGTTCACTTCGTTTCACTTTAAAGGGCATTACACCACTTTCTGCGAGTATCTATATTTATGGTCTATCAATCTACGGGCTCTAACGTCCTAAAAGGGACATTGCATTTGTGCGAGGCCGATTTCTCTATTCAACCCGGTTTAAAAAATCCATTACCTCGAAACTATCGCAGACACCAGAGTTCGCCGTCGAACGAGGAAAAGCCCTTCTCCTCGTCCGACGGTGCCGTCTGGTGTACGCGATAGTTTCGAGGTAATCGATCTTTGATGCCGATTCTAATAGAGGACTTGACCACGCCTGAAGGTAATGCTGTTGTTTTCTTATGATGCTTCGAGCCTATAGACAGAGTTATGGTAATAAATAGATAACCGCAGAAAGTGGTTCAGTGCCCCCGTTAGACTGCAACCGAAGCAGCAATCGCGATGATGCCAATTAAACAGCACCAAAAGCGCGTCCCCACGCTATGCTCGTCGCCTTCGTGCGCTTGCTATCATCGAGTAAACCAATCACGCGGAGTGAATGTTACCGAAGATGGGGAAACTTCCTCGGTCAGTGATTATAACTCTTCGCGTGGGAAGTCAGCACAATAACCGAGGCCACGGCCGCGCTGCCTACTTGGCCAGCTGCGCGCGCGGCAATATTCGAGTGTTCCGCAATGTGGCTCGACGGGTTGGGCATATTGAAAGGAGTGTTATGGGCGAAGTCTCTCTTCCGTCGCGCGAAGATCGAACGCTTTATCGGCGATTGCCCGGCCGTATTGTTATAGGCAGTGCTCGGACAGCGCGAACACGCCCGTCTTCCGCGGACGTGCGAAATACGAGTTTATCAGAAGCCAGGTCACTTCACTGGGTCTCGCATTTAGACTAACCATAACGCAACTTTGGGACTGCAGGCAAGTGAAGGACGACTCACACACGCGAAAAGTCTGGAAAGAAAGGTTATCTGCAATGTCGGGATTGTGCAACGTCTTATCTTCCCCGGCTCATTTGCCCCCTGACTTTCTGTTCATTAGCTTAGCCATTGGACGAGGGCGATGCTCGGCAAACACGTGGCCCCTAATGTATTGTCGTGTCGGACGTCCGGCAAGGGCATCCATTGGACGAGGGCGATGCTCAGCAAACCCTTGGCGCCCAATGTATTGTCGTGTCGGACGTCTGACAAGGGCATCCATTGGCCAGGAGAAGGCCCGGCATTTCCTTGGTCATTTCTCGGCCCATGGAGGACGGCCTTCTCTTGATTGGAAGGCCATTGCAGGCGTAGGCCAACCACATTGACCAGGCATCGGAAAGTGAAGAACAGTTCAGGCATGGAAATATGGCTAATATATGTGCTTTCTGTGCTACGTGAAGGCACGCTCACACATTTGCAACCTAGTAGGACCGACTGAGACAAGACCGGCTTTTAATCCTCCTGCGACGGCTTAGGACCGGATGCAAGCGTGTGAACGGGCCTTAAGCCTGAATGCGGTTCTGACGTTGCAAAATATATCATATTATCGATTCAGCCGAGAAAGGGTAACAGGTGAACCCTGTCGTTCGCTGAGCTTCGCCCGTAGACGGCACTGGTTGGCTCTCCGAGTGCAGTGCAGGGAAGAAGGCCCGTGGGCATCTTTTTAAGGGTACAGGGTGCAACGACTCCGAGACAACAAAAGAAACAGGCGCAGAGAGCGTGCTTTATCGGTCTCAGCTGCTGGATCGCGTACATCCTCGGCGGGATGCTGAAACGGCGGCGTTGCCTGCTTTGTCTCTGCAGCGGCGAGAACGGCAGCGGCAAGACGTACGCGTCGATGCTGCTGCTGCGGCAGCTGTTCGACGTGGCCGGCGGGGGCTCCGAGACGGACGCCTTCAAGCACCTGGCGGCCGCCTTCACCGTGCTCCGCTCCCTGGGCAGCGCCAAGACGGCCGCCAACGCCCAATCTAGTCGCATCGTGAGTCCCTTTCGTTCACTCACTCCCCTCCATCCATCCACACGTCGAGTCAGAAAGAGGCCGCCGTGACGTCGCCAGCCGGCCGCCGTCATGTCACCAGTAAGTCCCTGTGACGTTACCAGCAGGCCGCCATCAAGTCACCAGTAAGTCCCTGTGACGTCACCAGCAGGCCACGGAAGCCTGCCGGTTACGTCTTTCTGACGTCAGCGCCTAGTCTCTCTGACATCACCGGTAGACTGTAGTGACGTCACCAATAACCCACAGGGACGTGCAGTCCTCGGCGTTGTCACCGTGCCCACGATAGTTAAGAAAACCGGATGCAATCAAGAGGTGTCTGCGCTTGCCTGGTTTGGAGCCATTTATATTGGGGGAGAGTTCGCCAGTCTTCTCAAGATACTGGCAGTGTATATATATCACAACTGTTGGTCTGGCACCGGGGAAATGGTTCCCGCCATCTTGTGTTTTTGACGCGTAACCAACAACGATAGTCTCTCGATAAGATAACTCGCCGCGTTATCGCGAATCGGCATGTTCTCACTGACAGATCAGGAAACGCGAGACGTCGTCGAACATGTCATTATCTCTCCGCAGCCAATGAGATTGCGTGCGTTTGTCGATAAGGGCACCGAAGAACCAATCAGAAGGCAGGAAGCGTACTAGAAGTTCCGCCCACTCCGGCCTGGTTTTTGTCGCAAAGGCCGTTATTTTGTAACCGGTGATTTTTCTTTGATTTTTTTATTAGATATCTCTTTTGGAAGTTTGTCAAAGTCTAAGGTGATCTTTGTTCATGACACTGGCTACGTTTACATGAATTCGATCGTAGCTCATCGAATCGAGCGGGGACTGATCATATCTATCTCTTCTTTCTCTTTTAACCAATCAAAATGGTCCAATCTCGATTCGGTGCACTACGGTCGTCGCATCGACGTAAACGTAGCCACTGTCTGTAAACGAGCTCGTTTTTCTACTCCTCGTGCGCACAACTCCGCTCTTTCCGAAAGCCGAGCCCTCTGTGCATGCGTCCATTCGACAACCGGCTACCCGCGACCGCCAGAAATACGAGCCGCGAAACGGTATACAATGTTCCTTCCCGCTGCGTGAACATCCGTCGAGCAAATCCGACCATTGCAAGCAAGCCGAGGCAAGTGGACGAGTAGCCCCAGATAGGTGGGCAGCAACGCCGCTTCCGACCCTGCGGGGCCAAGAGGGCGGGGACGGAACTACTGGAGATCGCCACCGACGACGGCGAGAAAGGTGCGGCACTGCGTATATAAGGCCAGGCGCTACCGGCGCCGTTGCTGCTGCGCCCAGCGTTTCCCCGAAGCGCAGCTCGTTTTTCAAGCTTTCCTGACAGCCCTGGTCCGCTTCGCGAACAGGGAAGGAAGGAGGCTTGAGTTCGCAAGGCCGGCCGAGAGAGCATCCTGAAAACTGCCTCCGAGGGATAGTAGGGCTTCCCCCCGCGGGGGCCTTTTCAAATTGCGCCCTCTTGTGGAGGGAGCTCTACCGCGCAGTAACGGAAGACACCGTTACTGGGCAGGCGAGCTGGTTGCTATTTCCAAATATCGTGTTTTCCTGGCTATAGACATTTGCGAAAATCGCCTTCTGCCATCATTGTCTGCCGGGCTGTGGAACGCGTTCTGAGCATGTAGCTGAGCTGTAGCTCTGCATGTGCGGAGGCTGGCTGCGCATGCGTCCACAGCTCAGTGACTCAGCATTTTTTCGCCCGGGTGATAAGCGATGGAAAGGTATCGAAAAACAAAAACAGTGTTTTTTTTAGATAGTCCATACCCCAGTGCATGTAGTCCGTCCGCGCGCCGTGCATAAAGTCTGCACCTGGTGCTTAGTCGACACGGAGATCTTTCTCATACCGTGACGGCCCGCCTTGACAAATGTCTGCCTTCTTGGCTCATAAAGAAGCTTGTATTATACATAAATCGTCTTTAACATACTCTTTCATTCACGAAATCCGTCACGTCTTGTCAGAATGAACGATCTTGAAAGACAAAAATTACTGTATTACTAAAATTATCGCACAGCGTAAACTTTCAACTTTCAAACACGTATAGACAGCGAACAGCCCGCAAAATACGTGCTCAAGCCCGAGGCCAAAAAGGAGGACAAACACAACGTTTCAAGCTGTCTCGCACAGAATTCATTGCAAGTAATCATATTACTTGTAAGAGATTAGTTTTTGGAGTAATTTTGTAATCATTTGAATTCATATATAGAAAGTAATCCAGGAGTAATCTTATTACTTTTGGAAGTATTAAAAATACTTCCCACCGTTACTATTTTTCCCTTTCCTTTTTAATGGAGAGCCCTCTGTATCTACAAGTTTACTACCAAGGAATCCTTTATTCAAGTCTGCGACAGCCACGGGAGATTACTTTACTAAAATGGATGGATTATAAGCATGGGCTAGGGGAAAACACTGTTCGTTATTTTTTACACTAAAAGATTCACTGTTTAAATATGTTAATTCGCTCCTTTCAAACCATTGTGTACCATAAACAACAAAAATAGTGTGTCCAAACGCGTTAACAAAGTTTTTTTTTTGGTTTCCATAAATATAAAAAAACGACATTTTTACCCAAGCTTTCATGGTTGCATTCTAAATACAGTGAAAAATGTGCGTTCCAAACCTAGTTCTGATTGAACAATATTAAGAACAAATATTCTCGCGCGAAAACTGTAATAATGCCTTAAACAAAACAAAAATAAATAAGAGACACACACTTGGATACGTGTATCGACGCTTTTCACGTTGGGAAAATAAATTTTTTTAATTAATTTTTCGCGAGGCATCGAAGTTACAAAAGAGTGCGACGGAAAGGACACGGCTGGACTTACGTCTCGAAATAAATGTGATGGTGGGCGATGTCACAATTTGAAAAAATGGCCCGAATTCGTGCTTTTCTGGGACGCCGAGAGTTCTTCAAATCCCTATTTGACTAATTTATTTCGCGAGCATATTCTGCACATAGTAATTTATACGTGAAATATGAAGGCTCATGGCCTATCAAAACACCCCAAAAACCCAAAATCACAATATTTTTTTTTTTTTAGATTGCCGTTTTAGTGCGGAGCTCTTAGGCGCCCGTTTTCGGCTTGAGCGGCGTCGCTGTCGCCGTCGGCGTAACCGCGCGGTGCATTATGGGACATTTCCCATGATGCAACGCGCGGAGAGGAGAAGGAGTATGAGGGGGAGGAGGGGTAAGAGCAGAAGGGAAGAGGGGAGGAGGAGTAGCAAAGAGGATGAGGAGGTGAGGAGGAGGGAGGAGGGATGTACCCTCCCCTCAGTACCCTTCCCTCCTCCTCCTCAAGAGCTGCGCTCTAATTCGGCGTTGCAGGGTGTTGTAGACGTCTTTCATTTTTAGTGTGCCTGTATTTTTTACGGGGATGAGTAGTTTATAATTCGGTGATCCTAATTCAATAATGGGCAGTGCGAAAGACCGGTTTTCAAACCGGCAGAAATATCAGTCGTCCTGAAAATCTGATGTAATCGGAAAAGTAACGATTACTTTTTCGGGTAACGCCCAGTTACTTTTCTTGTCAAGTAATCGAGTAACCTAATTGAAGACTTTTTAACCAAGAATCATTGTAATTGATTAGTTTCGTTTTCAAGTAACGTGTACAAGACTCGTCTCAATAGACCCTTTTCGAAAGTACGCTCCAACGCCTGTCCGCCACTGTACTCGCTCACACACTCTGAGCATGAATTGAACACGAGGCCTGCGTCAGCGTTCGGTGTGAACTCTGCTCACCTCGTATTGGACACGAGTGATGACGTCAACGTTCGGCGAGGACTCGGATTCAATCACAGGCTTCGTGTCCAAGCAGTGGCCAATGTTGCTCGATGAACTTTTCTAGCGAAGCTGTACTATGGTGGAAATGAAGTAATGGCCGGCCGCAAGCCAGCAAGCCAAAGTTGAAAGGCTCGAAAGGTTGCGAGCGACGGCGGCAACCAGACAACCGGTAAGCCGGTTGTCTGGTTACCGCCGTTGCTCATAGATGGTGGTAGCTGTCCCGAGTTGTGTGTCATCAGGTCATTTGAGGACGGACACGATCCTGGGGAAACTAGCCCTTAACAGCTCCGCTGTAATACGGGATGATGACGATGATATTGGGCAAAATTGTCATACGTATTCTCGTTGCTACAAGCGCGAATGAATGATATGCCATGGACTAAACGGGCAAGGGGATTGAACAAAAAAAAAAAGGATGCATGGATGAGAAAAAAAGTCCATGGCATATCATTCCGATAGCAATTGCTGCTCGATAAAATCTCTATCAAGCGCTATCGCGCCTTCATTCCCTTTGACAGAATGTCTATGTCATGTAACTCTTTTTTTTTTCTTATCCAAACTTTGACTTTGACGTTTATAACAAGTGGTGCGTGTAAAATGAAAGTTGGAGGTCAATGCATTTAAGAACAGGATGACTCGAAAGGTTCCACGTGCTTTTTACACAAACCATCGAACGTGTTTCGCTCTATGGATAGATGGATGGATGGAAGCAGACATGTATGCATGCATTCATGGCGGTTGTTCCCTTTCAAACGGGCGATGACTTGCACCCCCTCTCCGAGTTTGGCGCCCTCTGGCGCCACGCCCGGAGAGTGAGTTCGGATGGCTTAAAGGGGTACTCCACAGGTTTTTCCATTGCCTCCGATTTGCTTGAAATTTTGCTAAACTAACCAACAAACATCGTGAAAATAGTATCCCAAATATTAGGTCAAAATATTGTTTTTTTGCGAAGTTATTGAATTTACAGTTTTGGTCCTCACCGTGTTTTTCAAGCTCGAAGTCTCTACTGGCAACAATGAAAAAGTGACGTCAGTGGAAGGCAGGGGTTCACTCTTTGGGCTGTAGATTTTGTTTTAAACTGATTCGAAGCAGTTACATGGTGTCAAATGAATGCTTGGGAAGCTCGCTGCAGTACCCGCGCTCCAGCACGGAACAAATGATTGGCATATTCTATTCTTTGGCTGCTTGCTCGAC